GATAGCAGGATGTGTGATCTTTTCAGTTACAGGGATCCATGCTACTTGGATTCCTGAATAAAGCCTGCCATCACACAACCTCTTGGCCAACTTCATTTACCTGGGTCCTTCAAGATGGCTTTGTGTCACCAAATATTCACATGGAAAACTACAAACACAGATGACGGTAATGAGCACAATACTTGAAGTGCCATATTTTTTGCCAGAAACTGTTTCTGTGGCAGCTGTGCTGCAGCGATGCCTCCTGAGTCTTCTCCCATTCAGGGAAGATTAAGGCCATGCTGCTGAGGCAGAGGCTGTACTGTCAGAGGAGGGCCCACTGCAGGAGAAATTCAGTAAACTGATTGAGACTATCTGCCTATCTGTTGACTGAAAAGAACCACCAATGTTCCCCGTGTCCTGGTCAATCCTTTGTTTCACATTGAACTATGAATTAGGAAAGTCATGTAACAGCTGGGAGGTGGTTTTCGATGAGTGTCAAGCACTCCTGGTACAGGTTGTTGGTTGTGGAGGGACGGACAAAAAAAGAGCAGGCTTTGATGGATGGCAGCCCAGCACAGTCTTAGACAGCTCTGCCTGATGGAGCAAGGAACATAAGTGCCAAAGATGATCTAAACAACAGGAGGAAGAAAAGGGCTAGTGCTGTCAGACACATTCGACTGCTGAGGAGAAAAGCTATCTTGTAATAACAAGTATAAAGAAATTCAATAAGTTCACTTTGAGTGTCAAAACATATTGCAGAACAAACTATCCATAGAACGTGGCAGCACAAGGGAATAAATGTAATCACAAAATAGTCAATAAGATAGAGTGAAAATATAAAAATAAATGCTATGCGGGAGACAAATGAGGAAATATTGTCAGTGCCAGTAAACAACAGAGTACTCAGTGTCTTTCACAAGCAAAGCACGGCAAAAACATTTTGCATTCTCCTAAAAAATTCATGTTGACTTAAAATGAGGATACAGAAAACAGCTTTATATCAAGATTTAGGCCATGACTGGAGTATAATTAGAATGGTCTTGTATTTCATGAGCTGCAGCTTGAAAAGGTATAATAAAGTCTTATTTGGCCACAAAAAAAATGGCAGAAGCAGAACAGTGGAAACAACAGAAGTTCCAGTTGGGAAAGATTTGGAAATAGACATTAGGATTCTTGTTGAATCTGAGAAATTTTCCCAAATTCAGAGAATTGCAAGAAAAAGAATCTTTTTATTTTGAAAAAAAATTCTGAGTGTTTCATTTATACAGCTATTTTTAGCTGTGTGTTATTTAAGCACACTTATACAAAAAGCCCTTCAAATCCATTTAACATTTAAAATATTTTGGTCTTAGATGGAAAAGACAGGCTCTGAAAATTGAAGGAAGGGAGAGCATCAAAGGGACAGTGTATTACTGGATTATACAAAGTGTCCCCAGGGAATTAAAGTAATATATCAAGGGAAGTTTAGGGTCAGACCAGGTAAGTCAATTTTATCAACATCTTCCAGAAACTATTTACAGAATTCACACCTGATTTACGGAGGGTATAATGCCAGGGCTGCACTACTGACCACACAATGGAGATGGTCACATAAAGGCAGCTGGGTAAGTGAAATTACTCTGGCTGCGCAGAGAATTTACACAATAATGCAAAATATGCTCCAACACATGTGGCATTAAATTAGGAAGTGACAAAAGAAATGTAGCTTTTACATACCATAAAAGATTGCTGCTTGTAGCAAGTAATGAGACAACTCACAAGAAGAGAAGCTGACTTAGTTCTGAGTAGTACCTAGGACCCGATTCAAGAAGTGGTTATCAGAGAACCACTTCTGGACTGAAAGTCGCATACTTGTTGAGAAGGAAAAAGATAAAAAAAATCCACTGCAGTAATATTTAACTTTCACAAAGCAAGCAGGTAAAAATGAGGAAGTTAGTTCATAGAAAGATGAAAAGAACAGCTACAAAGATTTAATGCAAACAGCATAGAGGCAGGCTAGAGATAAAGTGTATGATTCTCAGAATAATCACATATAACCCATAATTTTTTTTTTAAATTATAAAAATCAACTACCTTATAAACAAAAACCCCAACCCCAACACCCACCCAACCCAAACCAGCAGAATGAAGATGATTTTGGAAAGACACCCTTCAAAAGTGTAAGTCATCTCAATGGAGAAAGACAGGGGGAGAAAAAAGCATAAAATCTGTCGAGTTAAATATAAACCACAGTATTTGAGAATCAATTTGCTACAGACCTAAAAGTTAACAATACTATTTTGTTAAAATAACCACACTAGAAGGAGGAGCCCTACCAGAGAGATGACTGGGTAGACAGGCAATCGATTTATAAAAGTACTGAATGCTAAATTAATTATTTTCACTAATATTGACAACAAAGAAGGTTAAAGAGATTATCAAAATCTGAGGAAGCTTCTCCACGTCTATCATCATCTGAAGGTGTTTTAGAAGATGTAAATAATATCAAACAATAAGAAGTGTCATAAGGTGATGTTCACCCCAAAAGTGTTGTAAAAGAACTCAAATATGACATTTCTGAACTAACTACTGTAACATACAACCTGTCACTTATGTCACCCTTGACGCCAGAAGAAATGTTGTAACTGTGGCACAGTCTTTAAAAAGGACTCAAGGGCGACTCCTGTAATAACAAAATATAAAGCAGACATATTTTTATGCCATTGTAAAAGACCCATGTTGTTCTCGTGTCTAGAATGTCATGTGTAGTTTTAGCCTCACCAAATAAAATAATGACATCATGGAACCAGAAGAGAGCAAGAAAGCACAGATGACCAGAGATGTGGCACGGTTTTATATATGATAAGATTAGATTAGGATTCATCATTTAGAAAATAGGTTGGAGGATTGGACATGTCAAGACTATATAATCATAAGTGGTATAACGGATGTAAACAGGGATGCATTATTCTCCATTTTTTCCTATTTAAGGAGGTACAGGCTTAATCATGTAAAAAAATTAAAGCAAATAAAAGGAAACTGTGTCGTTGAAATGTGAAATGTATTGCCATGTCACTGAGATCAAGCTTATGATAGTCGGGTCTGTCTCTCTGCTCAACAGCTAGCAACCACTGCGGGTATGATGGAAGGTCCAGCTCAGAAAACTAGTTTATTGCTGGCAACTGGGAAGACAAAGAAGAAATCCTTCATACTTCCTGTTTGCCATAAATTCCTGCTCCTGATCATCGCTGAAGTCAGGATTTGAGGGTAAGTGGAGCATTCATCAGCTTGAACAAGGTTACATTTTCATGATGCTATCATAAGAATAATAAAAAACAGAAGGGACTGCCTATTATTTGCAAAACGTTTTGATTTTTGATGGAACTATATATCTGATGGAATTCAATAATGTTGAAAGTTGTTTTAACAAGATTCAGGCATCCTTTTGGTGGGCGCTAATTCTACTGTTCCGTCTGGTGTGTGCTCAACTGATTGGAAATGATGTAACTGACATAGCAAGCTGCATTTTGAAAGATTCTTGTGTTTCATGTTCAGATGTATCTTGTCACTAGTTTAGATGATTGCTGGGGTAGCAACTGCATTATATATAAAAAAATATATATAAAATGTATAGATGTGCATATATACATATGCATGTGTGTATATGTATATATATAAAATACGTAAATAAAACCAACCTGGTAAATCTCACCATTTTTTACAAACATAGTTTGAAAGTATTAATTCTTTGAGCCACACTCATGTTTTATAACATGCAAAAAAGTGAATACGCTTACAAAACGTTTTTCCCCCGCTTTTTGGAAGTTCATTTTTTTTCTGCTCAGTAAGAATTTTATCATAATTTCATGCCCCCACACTTCATGGTTTGTTACTTGGTCTATTACTCTCACATTTAACTTGATAAGGTCCTGCTTCCTATGATATTAATTTTTGAGTTTTGATTCTTCACAGCTGCTGCTTTGAAGTCTTAGATAACATTCTCAGCATTGCACATTGCTTCTGGTTTTAAACTTTTCATTCAACTGCAGTACATAGCTCTGTTTCTCCCAAATAACTTTTCAGTAAATTGTTATATTCTAATATTCTAAAATGAATGTTTTGCTTTTAATCCGGGCAAAACTGTGGACTCTTTTCTTAAAAGAAGCTAGTAACTTCTGTCAAAAGGTTTGGTGATTTAGCCTCATCTTCTCCAATCCTTTCTTCAAAGGAATTTAAGTCTGTTACTCAGTTCAGGAGGATTCTGAATCATTGTGTATTTCATACATGCATGAAAGGAAGAACTGATGCTCATACTTGTCTTCGTGCCCTCTGTTTCAGAACCATGTTCTTTTTGACCCAATCCTGTCCAGGACCAGGAAACACAGCTGTCAATAACTTCCTTTGGATAATATGAAAGGGGCTGGAATAGTGAGTATGTGTGTTGAGTGGCTACTAGCTAGAAACAAGCAGATATAAAAACTCAGTTTTTGCCCTTGCAAAGAGTACATGTGAATCTGGAGCGTAGGTCAACATCAGGTGAAAACTTCCTTTACCAACCTTTAGATCTTCCGTTATGAATCGGAAAAATTTGGTCTGAGATTTTCTACCTTTCTTACGTGGAAAAGAAATCAGCAAAGGCCTCATCTCACATGTTGAGCTGAGGTCGTTTTGAAACTTGAGGCAATAAGGATGTATGAACGGAGAGCTGAGAGTGCCATGGCTGGAGCAGTACTGCAGATATTCCCACTCGTTTGCCTGTGTGCATGCTTTTTATGTGAAGGGCCCTAATTTTTTCACTGCTTAGACCATTCTGTGCAATGTCCAGGGATTTGTCTATGGATACAAACACGTGGTTCTCATGCAAGTTATTTCCAACCATGTGAGAGTACAGATGATGTATACTTACAATTAACACTTACAATTTGACACCTTGTCCAATTATATGCACTGGGTCGTAAAGAAATGAAAAATTTTTGCCAGCATTAATCTTCCTTCAGAATTCTAATAATGAAATATCCTTATCATACAGAACTACTCACAGATATTAGCAGTGCCCTTAGGTATAGGCAGATAAGAACCAGGGCTCCATGGTCGGCCCTGGTAATTCTTCTTGCATTTTCCACAGTCTGGGCCAGTTGTGTTATGCTCACATTCACAAAGTAGTCTTTTGTTTTCTTCTTTACAGCCAGTAGCATGAAGGTTGCACTTACACCTATTTTTAAAAGGCAAAAATAAAAAAAAAGTGCGTTATTATTTAGAGGTGAGTTTAAGTCCAGATTGATTCTTAGTAAAGCAAGTACTATGGCAACCACTCTACTTCTGTGCGTTGTGCCTGTATTATCGTTTTAGCATGCTTTACAAGACATCACTCAAATAGCATGTTCTAATATCTTCAGCTCACACAAGTCTAAAAGCAGTAATTTCACCCAGACCTCCAAGATGCTGAATCTTTTGTTTTCACTAACAGCTCCACTGAGATCAACTAAATTATTCATAATTTTCACTACAGACAGGTCTATAATCTTGCAGAAATTCAAGAGTTACTCAGTACTCCCAGGAACAAAACAAGTCCTGTGCTTATGTCCTCAGAGAACTTGGCCCAAATTAAGATCCAAATTAGGCCCTGGTAGTCTGAGAAAACAGACTTCAATTAAATATCCACAATGCCACACTTCAGTAGAAGTGAACCTCACTGTAATGGTGTTTTGCTGTTTTTGTTCCGCACATACTCTCTTGCTCAGAAACAAAAATTGCTTTGATATAGTTGTAGTAGCTGAAGGTTAGAGGAAATGTTTTGGTAGGCACTTTTAGTTTTCTTAGGAAAAAACAACTAATCGAACCTTGCGACAAAACCATTAGATAAACCAGATTCTGCATCTGGTCTTGGAACAATTGTATTTTCCTTAAATTCCCCTCTTTCCTTGAAACTAGGACACTTACAGAATGGGAAGCTAGTTTCATAAACAGTACAGTATTGTCACCTCTTTCCGTCCCTTTCCAGTACATGTCAAAACCGGCTAAAATCTGTTTCTGTTTGGGGCTGGAGAGATAACTAGTATCTAACGACCCTGTCTGTTTGTTTTCCTAATGATTGTACATCTAGCGATTTAAAGGGTTCTCATGTGGGCATTTGTCACCTGTTCCATACAGTGACCAATAATTAGAGCAAAACAACACATGGAATGGCCAAGTGCAAATTAACAGCTGTCAAGCTGACTTTCATTTGCAACGAATATGACCTGAAGCAACTGCCCACATACATATATATCCCCGGGGTAAACCAAGCTTGCAGTTGTCTTAAGTGGCTGCTGCAGAAAATCCACAAGAATCTGTAATACAGTAGGTGGCGGAACATTCTCTTCAATGCTAGAAATGAAGTAGATGAAACTGCTGTTATTTGAGCAATGCTCATTTAAAAGAAAAACAGGTTCAGCACCTTTTAAATTGAAACTACCAAAACATACTGAATATGCTAGACAAAAGAAAGTGTGATTCATTTTCATATCATTTCCAAAATATTGATGCTTAAAGACTATATCAATTATGAAGTATATTTTCAATGACTAGAACACAGCAGAATGAAAGATGCCTGTCTGGGTGTCAGTGTATGAGATATTCATGTAGACATTGAAGATTTTGGTAAATGGCACTGCTGTTAAGAAAAGCAAGACGGTTTTACAGTTCATAGGAATATAAAAATGGAAGACTCCAAAACAGGAGAGATACACGATAATGACAAGACCAAAGTAGAGACAGTCAGAGGAGAAAGAAGCAGGAGAGACTGTGGAGTGTCTAGAATAAAAGAGTGAGAGGAACCAATTGTATTTCTTTCAGGAGGAGATTACTGTTTTACTGGAGGGACTCATCAGTGTCAGAGGCAGCAAACTGATCTAGGCAGGAAGAAAAAGCCAGCTAATTCTGAGGAAAAGCTGTAGTTCCTAGGGCTCTGAAAGGGTGCTGTAGACTAGTAGGGGAGATGAGGTGGGGGAAATTAAATGTCAGTACATCTGCTAATTGGTGTAAATGTGCACAGCCCTTTTAATAGGCACCTGAAAGTAAAGAATGGTTGTGCCAGAAAAACTTGTGCAAAGTCTGTTTGCACTTCTTAGATGCTATACTTGTCATACGTTCCTAAAGAGATACACTGACCCTTCCTCAATTTTGCTTGCATGGTTAAAAGTCTTGGGCGGACTCTGGCCTTCTCCGTCTCCCTCTGCTTCTATCCAGTCCTGTCCCAAGCCTCTTCATGTATATACAAAACATATGCATATATTCATATGCATGGATGTATATATGCATACACAAGCAATTTCCATAAATACTCACGCCTATTGATTTCCTTTTATTTCCCACATTCCCAAGCTCCGCTGTCATCCACTTCTTCATAGGTTGCCTTCTCCTTTTCCTTATTTCCCAGGCAAGAGAGCATGGACAGCACGGAATAGCTCTGCTGCCTGTTCTGGTGCCCAGTCTTTTAATTTCTTAGGGTAAGACTGCTGCAGAGGAAGTGCTTGTCAGCCCAGAGCTGTGGCAACATGCCACGCTAGCTGTTCTGTGGGCCACACAGTAGGGCCCACACAGTACAGTAATGGGCAGGGTTTCAGCAGAAGGCACCTTCTGCGAGTTTGGCCACCAAGCTCCAACAAAGGAATTTTGTTGGTCTACGTTTGTACCAAATACAGGCAGGTTTTCACAAAACAGCAAAACGCGTTTTCTTGTGGAAGTAGTTGGGGACGTTTTGTCAAACTTTAAAACCCTGTTAACTGAGATTTAAAACAATCAGCCCTCATACGGGCGTTCAGAACACAACCACAAAACAGACAATGCAGGGACATCTCAGCCACCTAGCTTCCTAAATGCAGAAATTGCTGAATGGCTCTTCCTGCCCTAAATTGGTAGAATAATCACGGATTCATTCAATCAACGCCTCTCTGTAAATTAACTCATTTGGACGTTTTGTATGTATTTTTGAAAGCGTTCCCAGCAGAATCCCCCAAAATGCTGCACCCTACCCTAAAAGAAAATTCCAAGTAATACCATGTTTAAGAGAAACGAGAGCAACCTTTCTGCAATTAAAAAACACCACCACCAACAAAAAAACCAATTAACCCCAAACCTCCACTCCCCAAAACCAAACAGAAAACCTGCAAACCAGCAACAGGGAGAGAGCTGCAGCTTTCTAGGAATATGATTTAAAGTGAATGACAGAAAAGAACAAATTTGATCACTGAAAAAAATAAAGGACTGATCTCTTGTGGGCAGAGAATAAATAGTCAAAACCCAACATTAACAACTGAGAAAAAAAAAGAGCCAACAATGTTGAATAATCCTAAAAACTCTCAGAAAAATTCCAACTTAGCTGTGTACAATTTCCAAGGAGAAAAAGTAAGGAACAAACGTGGTCAATGTGGTTTTCTACAAGACTAGCTAAAGATTAAAGGTCAAGGTAAAAAACCCCACTTATATTAAAAATGTCAAATGTAGAGTTAACAAGAGCTAGTTAAAGTGGGCACAAGAAGAAATGTTAAAAACCCCCACCAAACCACAAAAGGTCAGACCATGTGTGGCAAAAAAAACTCATTAATTTGCTTTCTTAGTATATAGGCAACATAAATGTTGAGTTTGGCTTATGACCACTAGTGTTATACAAGTACAAAAAAATCTGTAGATTAATGAATCTGAAGAGATTAAACTGGAGCTCTTGCTGGTGGCAGTAACTACACATAAGTAAAAGAGCAGAAGCATAAGCAGAAAAAACATTCAGAGGACTGAACCACAGAGGCTCTCATTCTTCTCTCACTTGCACCAATTTTTCGCTGAGGTCACCTTACAGATCTCAGAGAGATTATCATGATTTCCACAGCAAATGAAGGCTGTAGCTGAATACTGAATGAGTGTAAAATGCAGACAGTTATGAAACTGAAGGAGAACAAAAAGCACCTGTGGAAAGTGAACTGAACATCAGTTGGAGGGTACCGTGTCTGGGGAAAAACAAGCCAATACCAAATTCTGTGCTGTATCCGGAGAGACATTTTTACTGAAATGGGGAAATAATATTTTGTATACTTCTGGTTTTTTCAGGAAGGCTGCACTAGGAATTGGGCAATCATCAGAGGTTTGTATGGACAATCTCAGAGACTTCTGCAAAGAAGACAAACGCCTGTTGTGCTTGAGGGACAGACTTCTCTGGATCAATGAAAGAGGTAAATGTGTGTAGTGGGGCTGAGAAATGACTACAGTGCAATAAAGAGCTACTTCTACTTGTGGGATAAGCAGTAAGGAAAATGGAAATACTTAAGGTTACAGAAAGAAGACTATTTAGGTAAAAATATCGTCCAGACGAACCATGAGAGAGCCACTCTGATGAGGTATATTGCATGGTGAGCAGAGCTTGGACCTTTGGCATTTCAGGTAACTGAATCAGCTGAGCACCACTGATCTGGTAGCTGACATAGGCTCCTATCAGATCACCGTCAGCACGTGGACATCAGCTTCCTGTGGAAGACCGCCTGAGTTCAGAGTCTATCTGTCTCATCTCTTTTTTTAAGGAAGACTACCTTTCTTTTCTGCTCCAGAGGTAAGGAAGTATTTTGTTACTTTCTATGAATATCCATGATGATAAATTATTACTGAAAATCCTAGATACCATTTGTAAGTTCTTTAAACGCTTGCTTGGAAAGGCTGTTCCTAGCTGCTACTGCTTTAAGTCTGAGGTGGTAACAAAAGGCTTAATTAGATTTACTTACAAAGTACATTAAACACAAAATTTCATACAGCCCTTGTAGATGCTTCCATCAGAAGAATGTGGTCACTTTGGCTGCACATATAAGAATGGAGAAGTTCTGAAAACCTAAAAAACCTTCTTCCACACCCTCTGTAGTGAGTTCCAGATTACAATATTTAATGCTTATATTGTTTCTTGAAATCCAAAGAAAAAAGTCAAAGTGCTTTTTTACAAGGTATTATTTACACACACAGAGAAATGCAATTACTGGGTAGCAGTGGTGGGTAGCAGCTGCTTGGCACGTCGAGTGGGTTTGCATGAGTACTGACAAGGGATGATGGAGGGAGCTGTAAAAAGTGGAGCAGGTTTAAGAATACAGGTTAAGGTATGGCAAATATAAGAGGAAGTATGCTGCAGCCTTTGCACTGCACTGGCAAATAGCCTAAGGGCAAAATCCCATGTAAGGATAAAGCAAATGTTAAGGGCAA